GTACAAAGATTGGTCAGTTAGTTCAAACAAAAGGACGGACAGACAAACCAGCCGATTCCTATGCAACCCCCCTCCCCCCCCCCCCTTTTCCCATATAAATGTCACTCTAGCATGAATAAGGGTTGTCAATAATTATAGTAAAACAGTATACTAAATATTAACTTGATTAATGAGGTTTGCTTACCTTTCATACATATTCAGGAAGATATTACAAATTAATAATAAATCCAACAAATAGATTCTGAAAAGTGGCTAAAGGTGAACAAATGAAATTTAAACTGCCATTGGAAAAAAGTTTTGTTGGATCAGGAGTCCAGGACAGAAGTTTGACTTGAAACATGCCACTTACAGCCCCCATAATAAAGAGTTATTGCAAGGGTTCTTTAACATGCTGAGAGAATGGCACTTTTGCTACATAAGCCATCAAATTAAATGTTGCCATTCTACTGGAAGTGGCTGGTAACTTTTAAAATTCCACAGAGGTAAATGAAACACCCCTCTTCAGCATGCCAGATTGGAGAAATTCAAGTGAATTCCAAAACTAAACAGAGACTTACCTTGGTAAAAGTCGAAGTTCATTTTGAATTTGACGTAGTTGTAGGGATCAGATGAGATGATCGTGCGCATGTGTAGCTTCAGTCTTCAAAGCCGAAGGGTTTGTGCATACAAAAAACACTAAACCAAAACTCACTATCTACATTTACATGTAGTGCAAAAAAAAAATCTGGGAGGGATAACGGGTGGCATCTGATCCCTACAACTAAAGATGACTACGTCAAATTCCAACTGAACTTCGACTTTTACCAAGGTAAGTCTCGTTTAGTTTTGGAATTTAACAACGTCATACCGTTTCCGGGACCAGATGAATCTTCAAAGAGCACAAGCCCTGAGATAATTGTCAAAGTTATATAAAAACCTCCATCAAAAAAAAAAAAAAAATATCCCTCCTATTTACAAAAGTTCATTCACAACTAAAGTTCTAGGTACTAAGAACAACTCTCTGCCAAGAGATCATCTGACTCAATCGGCTTCTTGTAAAACTTAGCAAAAGTCTTTTCACTGGTCCAACCAGCTCTACGCAAAATACATTCCACCGGAATTAGGTTATGGAAAGCTTTCGAAACAACAGCTGATCTTGTACTATGTGAAGAATATGATTTAAGTTTCACGTAACTAAGAAAGAGCTTCTGACTGTTACCTCGTACTTTAGCTGTTCTGAACAAATATTCTTTTAAAACTGTAAAAACACACAACCTCCTATCTGAAGGATATGCAAAAAGTTCAACAAAACGAACATTAAACCCAGGTCTATTCTGTTTTAATAAACCTGTATAAAACAAAGTCAAACTATCCTTTCCTCTTACTAAATTATCTGTTCCTAACAAAAACAACGACTGTGTCCTACAAGCCGTAGATAAAACAATCAACATAACTAACTTCAATGTTAAATCTTTCAACGAAATATACTCGACAGGAGACAACTTCCTTACAAAAATAAAATCTTTAGATACGTCCCAAGTTTCACTATATCTTGGTTCTGAAGGTCGCAAATTATAAACACCTTTCAAAAATCTGATGACTGTCGCATTAGAGCCCACTGTCGCTCCATTAAACATTATTCCTAAGGCTGACAACGCAGATCTTGCACAATTTATCGAACTGTAACTCAAACCTTTATCAAAAAGCACTGTTAAAAATTCTAAAACTTCATTTATAGCTGGTTGAAGTGGATTAATTTTCCTTTCACTACAGAAACGGAACCATTGTTTGACTTAAGATGAGTATTGTTTTTTCGTAGTGTTTCGCCAAGATGCCAAAATGATTTCGGAAGCCTTGTCTGAAATGCCCCGGTTTTCCAAATTTTTCCTGATAACCGACATGCAAGAAGCTTTAACTGATTGTGAAGAGGATGAATCTTTTCCGTTCCCGGAATGTGCAGTAGTCTTTTCTTTCGAGGCAACATTTTCGGAATATCTATCAACATTTCTAGAAGTGGTGGGTACCATGACTGAGTCGGCCATAACGGTACAATCATCAGAACCTCTGCACTGTATTTCTCAACTTTCTGTAGACATCTACTAATAAGAGAAAATAGGGGAATAAATAATAAAATACCTCGTCAGACCATAAAATACTAAAAGCATTAACAAATAATGCCTCAGGATCAGGTTTCCATGAGGAGAAACTCTTTACTTGACAATTTTAATCTAGAGGCAAATAAATCATGGCCTGGAGTACCCCATATCTCCACTAATTGTTTGAAAACTTGTTTATCGAGCATCCACTCTAAATGATCATCAATTTTTCTTGATTCAACATCAGCAGCATTATATTTACCAGGAATATGTTCTGCAGAAATCCAGATTTCTCTTTCAATACACCAAAACCACAATTTTTTGGTTATTTCATTCATATGCATAGTTTAATACCACCCATATTGTTAACGTATGCAATTGCACTAGAATTATCACAAAATATCTTCACATGAATATCTGAATAATTTTTACAGAAAGCTTTTAGAGTATAAAAAATAGCCAAGAACTCCAAAACATTTATGTGAAAAGTTTGCTCAACATCATTCCACCCAACCTCTTAATGAGGCGTCACATGTCAAAGAGATATCTGGATTTTTTCTATTAATGACTCTTTTTTTTGGCAATGTAAGTTATCAACCCACCATTTCAAATCGGCTTTCATGTCAGATGTTATACTCATATTTTGATCAAAATTCCCATTGACAATTTTAAGGCCTGAATTTTCTCAATTTCTAAATTTCTGTAATATAAATGACCAAATTCTTGGTGTTTCTCTGCTATAGGAACTGAATAATATGCATGGCGCAAATCAATTGAACTGAAAAAACAATTTGGCTTCACCAATTTCAATGCGATTTTAAAAGTGTCCATCTTGAAATGATGAGGAATAATAAAATTATTCAACTCTTTTAAGTTAAGAATCATTCTACGTTCATTTGTATTTTTCTTTGGAACTGTAAAAATTGGAGAAATATATTGATCTATATCAAAATTGACTTCCACTATTACACCCAATTTTTTCAAATTTTCTATCTCCTCATTTATAATTTTATCCTGGTTTTTATCAAAAGTTCTTTGATAAGGAGAGAGGCTTTGAACGGGTCTTGAATTATCAATAAATTCAAGGTGACAGTGTTAAACTGTATCCAAAATAAATTTATCTGAAGTAAATTTTTGCCAGTTTTCTACAAAAATTTTTAATCTACCTGCTGTAAATTGTTTGTTACTAGACATACCTGCTAAACTTACCTGTTTAGCATGATTTACTTCCTCAGGAAACCTCTCAAGATTTTTGAACTACCTCCTGCCATACTTTGATCATTGTGATACTGGCCTCTACCACCGTAACCACGTCCACCTCTGAAACCACCACAACGAGGGCCTCCGCGGTTTCTACCAATACCTCGTTCCCTACCATAGCTACCTCCTGGAGGAAAACTACTTCCTCTACCTGTAACATTAGTCCAATTAAGACCAAGTCTATTCATATCTTGGATCTCTTTAGACTTTTGATGAACATTGTCCCCATAAAGCATATCTGTGAAAGGTATTGAAGGAGAACTCAAATGGTGATATTCAGGACTCAAATCATATCTCTGATACTCTTTCCTTTTCACATTAGTCATTTTATTGTACTGTGATAGTAAAGCAAGAGAGTCTATTCCAAAATCTATACAAGATTGCATATCTTGCTGAAATTCATCACCCAAATCAGGTTTTATCCTGCACATAATGTTTAATAGTTTGGTAACATTGCAAGCTGCTTTCACAACAGTTTCTTGATGTTGTTGTATAACAGAGTCAAAAGACCTAGATTGAGGAGAGAGTAAATTCTATACAAGCTGGTTTACTCTTGTAGGTGTGAGAGCAACACAATTTTCTGGTCTAGCAACTGATTTCATAAGCTCATTATACTTGTCTTCTGAAATACCTTCACGAAAAAACTCATTGACAGTGTCTGCTAAAGTGTCGTCTACACTAGAATCAACATTATCTTTAGACCTTTAAGCTTGAGCAGCAACTTTAAAAACATTGTCACAATCTTTGTCACTAGTTTTTTGTTTCTTTGCTGCAGGTTCTACAACCTCAGCATCTACAAACTGATCACCTGTTTGATCATTATCTTCATGATTGTTATTTACATCACAACTGTCAGGGTCTGCAACCTGGGTTTCATCATAACACTCAACATAGTACATCTCGTCCACCATAGACTTAAGCGACACAAAAACAGTTTTTTCAATTTGTATAGTCTTAAGGACAGAAAAAACATCAGCTAAAGTAGGTTCCTTGCTAGCTGCGCTAGTACTTGAACTAGGACCCTTTGGTCGTGAAGTAACGGCCTCGCCGGAACTAACAATACTTGCATCTATTCCATCATTCTTAGAAGAATGAGAATCATCACACGACGATTTTCTTTTAGGATTTTTACCCTTTGCTTCATTGGATGCACTAGAACCTTTCTTTAAGGACTTAGTATCATTTTTAAGCAGTTAAGCTGCTTTATGCGAGCACCCTAGATTTGTGTTCTACCCAATAAATGCTGAAATATGTGCCATTGTTATTATCTGGCTGGCTATTATGTTATTTATAACTAATTGAACACTTTTTTCATACTTTTTATTCTGGAATACAAAAAATATGACCAGAAAAACCTTAAATGATCGTCGAACCACCCAAAAGTTTTGAAGTTGCACATAGAAAGTAGTGCTCGCTTGAAATCCTTATGTAGATTGTTATCCCCTCTGCTTTTGGCTAAGATGTTATAGAACAATTGCCGGTATGAAATATTTAATCGCCGAAAATCTCTAATTACAAGTCGTTTACATTTGCCAAATGGCAAAAAGCGCAGGAATATTGTATAACGGCTGTGACTAATATGACACGGTGTTAAGTCTCAGTTGGCGGTAATTTTAACTTCGTCGACAAAACGTAAATCAATGACGTTCTAAATTTGGTGGATTCAGATAATACGAAAGTAATTAATATTAATCATTTTATTCGTTTTTGTCTGAGATGATTGTGATTATTTAAATCATCTTAATTAAATGTAACTATGCTCATTTGTTTTCTTGTTAACACTATATATTCCGTTTATCTCGTAAATGAGCTCCATGCTTGTCAAATCAAGTTGTTGTTATTGTTATTGAATGAAATAAAACTAGAGATCTGATTGGTCGATGTCAAGGTCATTTCAAGATGGTTTCCCTTGTGTTTTTAGTCAGGCTTTGGTGTTACAGGCTGCTACCTGTGCTTTGATTTAGTTCAATGTGCTTCAAATAATATTGAGATTAAAACTTTAACAATTATTTTCTAAAGGACGGCATTATTTAACTTCCAAAGTCGCATATTTTTGTAAAATATTAAGTCCGAATTTGTGACGCGTCTCACACCGTAATTATTTTTGATTTACAAGGACTTTTCAACTTCCGTGAAAAATACAACTTTTTCGATGTTTCTTTTTATGAATTTTTCATATTTAAACTTCTAGAATCATTTCTATGCGTTTCCTTCAGCAACTTGATGCTGGTAAACGACTTTTCCATGAAAATACTGCAAAAAGAAATCGCATGATACGAAAAGAAGGTAACGTTAACGTTGTCAACAAGTTGAAGTTACAAACAGTTTTATTTTTTAATTCCTATTCCAGTTATTTAAAGTTCAAATAAATGGTTTTTTTTATTATGATATTAGTAATGGAAGACAGTGAAACCGTAATCAAGATATTTTAATTTACTTATAATTTCAAATAAAATTTAGAATGGAAATAGGGAATGTGTCAAAGAGACAACAACCCCATCAAAGAGCAGACAACAGCCGAAGGTTACCAATGGATCTTCAATGCAGCGAGAAACTTCCTCACAGGAGGATTGCTTCAGCTGGGACATGTATACTAGTTCAGTGATAATGGACTTCATACTAAAATCAGAAATATACAAAAGAAATTAAAATTAAAAATCATACAACACTAACAAAGGCCAGGGGCTCCTGTCTTGGGACCCCAGAGAATATAAACATTAATTATTTCAGCATCAATGAAAATGGACAAAGCTAATACATAATGATTTTAGACATGAAGTTTTTTTGCTACATTGTATTTGTCAAAATAAGCAATATTATACCTATTTGTATTTGTTTCTGTTTCAGCTTGATTACAACCTTTGGCAATGGCTAATACTAGAAGAGGCAAGGCATACATGTACATGTACAATACATGATTCTCTGTAGCACCTGGATTATCCACAATAATTCCATAACAGCAATGAAACTCTAGACTACTATGATGTTATGTACATGTATATCTACATATATGATCAATGTTGAAGATTGTTTATGCCAGGTCTCATCATGTTGACTAGTCCGACAAGTTTTGGTTCAGCTTTCTGACAGGAATAATTATAAACTTGCCAGCAGTAACAACACATGAATATTAGTTATTATTAAGTGCCCCTATCGGTCTAGCAATTTTTATTATTGTGCACTAAGAAGTATGCCTAGTAATCCAAAACTTTTTGCATGAAGTTATTTAAAGATAGTTGGAATTCATGATATTGATGCATTGTGCAGAAACATGAAATATTTTAGTTTGTATTCTTAACAATCCAAGAGTAAGGTTAAATTGTATCAAGGAGAATTACTTATTACAATAATTACGCAGTAGTATTTTGATTGTGGATTTTTTTCAATTTTATTATTTACTGAATGCATATTTGTCACTTGTTCAAACGTAAGTTTAATTTGAATTGAATGCGAACCAAGTTCACACAATATTCTTTTTTTCATTTTGAATTGAATTCAAATCTAATGCGAATCGAATTCGCTAATAGCATTCACACACTCTTCTTTTTTTAATTCGAATCTAATTCAAATTGGCTAATTTGCATTATCCAAATCTCATTAGAAATACCTTTTTGAGTTAATTCGATTAAACTTTGGTGTGAACACTTTCTAAATTGTAATTCAAATTAAACTATAATAGATTAATTGATAAATTGAATTAAAAGTTAACGTCATTTGGACAGTAAAGCAATTTTGACGCGTATTGCAATTTGAAGTAGAATTTACATTTGGACATTAACCATGTTAAACTTTTCGAATGGGTATTAAACTATAAATTCAAACCAGTTAATGCGAATCGAATTCGAATTATGTGTGAACACAGCATTAATATATCTAAGAAATGAGGAATATAAAATTATTAAAAAAAGATGGCCAAATATTTGTATTAATTTTGTTGCAATTTTTGTCTTGCCTTGACAGAGTCGAAAAGAGAGACATCTATCTATATATATATATATATATATATATATATAGTCATGCTGTTTTGGCGGCATCAACAATGTATTAGCTTGTGATTTTGTGATAAGGTCTAGGTTATGGTAGGTCAATGATATTGTTGTGTAAGCATAGGCACATTTCATTACCATGTAGAATATTTGGCTCAACCCCCTTAGTCATGGTCTATTGACTTTGAAACTTTGCATAGTTTACATATGTATAAGTTTGTGATTAGGTCATTTTAGGGGGAACCAATAGTATTAGGTCAATGCTATTTGGTGTGCAGTTGTATAAACTTTGTCATTTCTAATTTCCATTGAGATTATTTTGGCCCGCCCCCTCAATCATGCTCTTTTTACTTGGAACCTTATGTTACTTTGAAAATTCATTTATTAGCTTTTGATTACATGTAGGTTAGTATTAGGGAAACCAATAGTGGTAGGTCAATGATCATTGGCATGCAGGTGTAGAAGCATTAGTATGTCTCATTTCCATAGTGGATATTTGGTCTTTACCCCTCAGTCATATGCATGATCTATTGACTTTGAAACTTTTACTTAGTTTACATGAATTAGTTTGTGATTATTATGATGATGTCAGTTTAATATTACCAGTAATCTTAAGTCAAAGCTATTTAGTATGCAAACGTATTGGTATTTAAAAGGTTCATTTCCATGGATATTATTTAACCCCACCTCCTCATTATGGTTCATTGACTTAGAAATTGAATTTGTGTTAAGGTTTGTTTAAAGGGAACGACTTATGAAAAGTCAATGGTATTTGGTAAGCAGTTGTATAAACATTGGCACATCTCATTTCCATGGAGATTGTTCAGCCCTGTACCATCAGTCATGGTTCATTGTCTTTGAATATATTTTACATGTTAAAGTATTCCTTTTTTAATTGTAACATTTGCATTATCAAAATAACAAATAGGCAAAACATGTCTCTGTGTGAACAGCTTATTATAGATTAGACATGTACAATTATTATAAAAATAAGAAGATGTGGAATGATTGCCAATGAGACAAGTATCCACAAAAATTCAAATGAAGTGGATGTAAGCAATTATAGGCAACCGTACAGCCTTCCAAGACATATGTTGCATCATTGCTAGGCCATTTTAACAACATAAGCATGTTTTGTAATATAATATACAAGAAAATTACACCACTTCAGATAGTTTCAGGTATGATTTGATAATTGTGCATAGAACTAGTGGCACCAGCTGATCCAACTAAAACCGCTAATATGGCATATTCAAACTCTAGTACATAGTGGAATTAAACCACTGTTGGACACCATTATCGAAATTATTATTCTGATAAGAATATTCCTCCATGCAGCCTGCAACAATTAGCAAAACCTATACTGCATAGTAAGCTATAAACGACCATGAATTGACAAATGTAAAACAATAAAACTGAAGCATCCTGATTTATGTACAAAACAATTATAAAAAATAAATATGATATACAGCAACAATCACCAAATTATTGGGTCCTCACTATGGACAGGTACATGCAGAATGTGGCGGCTTAAACATGTTAGCTGGCACAAAACTCTCCCCTAACATGGGACAGTGTATGTGCATAATCTCAGACATTGAATCTTTAAAAATATAAATTGGAAATAACTTTTGAAAGTGGTAGGATTGGATAGCGTACACATTTCTGTACAAACATTATTTGATACTTCAGAAATAGCTGAGAATAATGCCTGAGATAAATATTTCCACTAATTCTTCCACAATATTCATCTGAACTTCTGCCAAGTTTGCCTTTGGTTTTTTAATTAACTGCCTATAGCGCCCTTGGTGCTTTGATTTGAACTGGAAAGCATGGCATCCGCCATTTTTACCAAAAATAAAATGCTCCGCAGGGCGCAGCTTGATACGACCGCAGAGGTCGAACCCTGAACAGTTGGGGCAAGTATGGACACAACATTCAAGCTTGATACAGCTCTGAATTTGGATTGTGATTAAATATTTGACACAGCATAGGTTTCTGACACAGAATGAATGTGGTCTAAGAACTTAAAAATTTTAAATTGGACATTCACCTATTATGGTCCAATATCCAAAATCTAAATACATGGTTAGATTCAGCATATCAAAGGATCCCAAGAATTCAATTTTTGATGAAATCAAACAAAGTTAAATTTTGGACCCTTTTGACCTCAATATGGACAAAATTGATAACGGGGCCCAAAAATCAAAAATCTAAATACATGGTTAGATTCAGCATATCAAAGAACCCCATATATTCAATTTTTGTTGAAATCAAACAAAGTTTAATTTTGGACCCCGATTTGGACCAACTTGAAAACTGGGCCCATAATCAAAAATCTAAATACATGTTTAGATTCAGCATATCAAAGAACCCTAAAAATTCAATTTTTGTTAAAATCAAACTAAGTTTAATTTTGGACCCTTTGGACCTTAATGTAGACCAATTTGAAAACGGAACCAAAAATTAAGGATCTAAATACACGGTTAGATTCGGCATATCAAAGAACCCCAATAATTAAATTTTTGATGAAATCAAACAAAGTTAAATTTTGGACCCTTTGGACCTCAATGTGGACCAATTTAAAAATGGGGCCCAAAATCCAAAAACTTAATACACGGTTAGATTCAGCATATTAAAGAACCCCAAGAATTCAAGAATAAAACCCCATTGAAATTGATCAAGAAATAAGCAATTTATACGAAGTATCTTCTTTTGCACAATACTGTGCAATTGAATATTTCTTGCTATTGCGCAATACTGTACAATTGACAATTTCTTGCTATTGCGCAATACTGTGCAATTGAAGATTTCTTGCTATTGCGCAATACTGTGCAATTGAAGATTTCTTGCTATTGTGCAATACTGTGCAATTGAAAATTTCTTGCTATTGCACAATACTTATTATATAATAATTTACACATCCTGTTTGGTGTGTATCTCCTACCATATCATTATTATTTGCTTTTAAATATAAATCAGAAATAACCAACTTAAAATGGAAAATTTTAAAAGAAAAAAAAAAGGAAAAAAAGAAAAAAAAAAATCCCCCCCCCCCCCAAATTTTTTGAACCCCTTATGATTCATCACCCCCAAACTCAATCCCAGCCTTCCCTTTGTGGTATGGTACCTTGCAGTACAATTTCAGAGAGATCCATACACTTGAACACAAGTTATTGTCTGGAAACTAGAAAAAATGCTTATTTTTGGCCCCCAATTCCTAAACGTTTCGGGCAATTACCCCCAAACTCAATTCCAGCTTTCCCTTTTTGATATGGAACCTTGTAGTACAATTTCAGAAATATCCAAACACTTACACACAAGTTATTGTCATGAAACTAGAAAAATGCTTGTTTTTTGCCCCTTTTTTGGCCCCTAATTCCTAAAATTTTGAGGCAATTACCCCCAAAATCAATTACAGCCTTCCCTTTGTGATATGGAACCTTGTGGTACAATGTCAGAGAGATCCATACACTTACACACAAGTTATTGTCTTGAAGTTACAAAAATGCTTATTTTTGGCCCCTTTTTGGCCCCTAATTCCTTAACTGTTGGTACCATAACCCCCAAAATCAATCCCAACCTTCCTTTCGTGGTCTTGAACCTTATGGTAAAATTTCATGGAGATCCATTGACTTATACTAAAGTTAGAGTGCGAAAACCAATGTGTCTTCGGACGACGCCAGACGACGACGACGCCAACGTCATACCAATATACGACCAAAAAATGTTTAATTTTTGCGGTCCTATAAAAACAACTGCTGTAAATCGGTCTACTTACCGCAAATTTTACAACATAAAAAATATATTTTTAGAAAATATATATAAACGCCTCGAGTTTATTAACTTGAATAAATAACAAATAATAACTACCTCGTAGTTATTCTGATAATTTATTACATAATTGAAGCTACAAGACAGACCACGTCTGCCCACTATGAAATAAGGCTATGAACTGAAGCTATACATGCGCACGAACATCTCATCTGGTCCCTGAAACGGGATGACGTAGTTAAACCATATTTCTACACACCAGTCAACATTTGGGTGTATTCTTCATAGATCTCTCTTTAATAACACACTGATCAGAAAGCAGCACTTAGATGTAAGTGAATCCTGACAAAGAGATAAGGCCTCATATTGTTTTGAACAGAAATGTATGGATTCTAAAGCACAAGTGACCCAAAAATCAATGATCTTTTCATTTTTAATTCTTTTTCGTTACAATCATACCTTATCAGAAAACTTGATGTAAGGTGTTCATTATGCTGAATAGGAAGAGTAACACCTATTTCTTGTCTCACTTGTAACCATTCATCACAGATAAAACACTAACACTGAAAGATGGATACACCATGATTTATTTGGCATGTTTCATAATGTCCAGCACTTATGATGATTGCATAGAATCAGCACCAGCATAAAAAAACAACATTAAAACAGATATGACTTTAACCATACAAATAGTTCTTCAGATCTTTACCAAAAAATTGCACCTTATTCTCAATATAACATTCTGTTTTGATTGCTTACTCTTGGCTCAATTATTAATTCTATCTATTAATTGTGTTAAAATTAGTTCGCTTTAGATTATCATTATATGTAAATCAAGCAATGTTAATTTATTTCCATTAAGAGCAAAAATTATTCAGTGAAATTATTCAACCAAATTAACAATATTTGTTCATAACTTGTGAAATGGGCTTAGATCTAAACTATTATTTATTTTCAAGTCTAAGGTGTTAATGTTTTTGAAAGATTCTGAAATTTTTTATCCATAAAACATTTACACTAGCAACAAAAAAAAAAAAATTCACTGTTACTTTCAATATGTGGCTTTTTTCAAATCTGTTTTAAGCAACTCATTCAAAGTTCTACACCAAAAATCTTAACATTGCACATAGATAAATGCTGGAAAATTCAACACAAAATACATGAAAAATCTGATATAGTTTTCATATAAAAAAAACTTGAAATAACTAATTGATATTCTACAAAAGTTCTGTTTGTGAGAAAATTGCACTAAAAGTTTTTATGTAACAAAATACCTCATACAAAAACAGTTAAAATCATTTACATGTTAGTCCACAAAATTTTAAGTACTAGTGCTAGTCATAAAGCAAATTTGGGAATATGCTGTCTGCCTATATCTAAAACATACTGTAACTCAGGGAACACTAAGTACATAAATACGTGAATTGGAAACATATATTTATATCAATTATGAAGATAGTTTGCATAAAGATCAAGATAATATAAGTGTACCAGTTTTATGAATTTTAAATGTATTGGCAGCCATAAAGGACCCTTCTAATATTGGGAGTAAAATCACCAAACTTGAGATTACATAATAATTTGACCCTACCACAGAAAGGCCAAGGGATGACATGGACTGTTAACTATTTTGATGGGAAATGATTAAGGTCTTACAAAGCCAAACAAAAGTTGACAAGCATTAAAGAATGAAATCAGAGATCATAAAACTTTTAGTTACAAGACGGAGTCTTTTACTTATTCATTTCATTCTTATACCAAACAAATAAGTGTGTTAAAAAATATGATATTACCATACTTGGTTAAATTCTACCCTTATGTAATACATGTACTGAAATCTCTTTGGTGACTTTTATTTTGAGCAGAAACCACATAAATAAGGACCAATTTGGCACATGCAAATAAGTAGAAACAAGATAATATTCAGAAGAAAATATAATTTATAATTTGGCATTTACTATAGCAGTACTAGAACCTGTCAACTCACTTAAGAGAGCTTCTGTTTTTTTTTCATTGATCAAATAAGGTCTGAAACATTCAAATTTGAAAATCTTAAGGTCCTCTCTCTTGCCAAAGGTTTTAAAAAATATTATTAAAGTTCTTTAACAAGGAAACTGAATATATTGAATGTTTTTTTTCTTCAGATTTCCAGTGGAAAGTTATGTAAGATCAATAAGCTACATGAAAAGGTCCTGGACCTTGCACCTACACATTTTGAACCCTTGCTTCAGTGTAAATAAAAATCCTTATTTTGTAACTATAACATAAGCCAAAATATATCAGAACCTTTTGAAAATATAGTAACATTAATATATTTATGAAAGATAACTATCCATAATTATAGTTTGAGACTTGGAAGTTGAGTTTTTACACTAAATAGAAGGAGCTTATTGAATACATATATCTATGCTGACTACTGTATTTAGGCACTTGACAATATAGACTGCCAACATAACTATACTGAATCAGGCAATAAATTTTAGAGTTTATAAACAAATTATTATACAAAATCGTAAAAAGCTATATATTATGAGTTAAAATGACCAGTTGATTTGTCATGTTACACAAAGGTGGATTATTATGCCCAATCTTTCTTGATTTCAAACTTCCATGTCCATTTTAGATGTTCATTTTTATCATCATCAGTAAATAAACTTTCCACCTTGTAGTCTCCCCTTGCCAACATTCCTGAGGGTGCATCTTCTATAGGTGTAGACCAGGTGTGAGCTTCTGCCTTCGGTGGGTAACTTCCAACCATGAATTTTGATGTATCGACTGAAATATGTCAAAGTTAAAATTTAATATAACTTTAAGAATAGTACAGTGTATTATAATAATTATAAATTTATTTATTAAAAGTTACATATTGAGTGTCATAAAACATCTACAAATACATACCTACCTTTGAGGCACTTGTACACATATTACTAGTGTAAATAATAAATGTACAGTATTATAAAAGTTAAATATAAAAAAAAAATTTATTTAGACAACCAAAACCATAAAGCTTCATATTAAATATTTATAATTTCTATCATTTTATCAGCCAACCACTTTAATTTCTTGTAGAGTAGTATTCATTTTAAAAATGATAAAACTATATACCAATTTTCAAATCAATATCTTCAAGCATGACGAAAAAAGGTGTGGAAAACTGATTATTTGAGTGAATTTTCAAAGTCAAAGGACTATATGCACAAAATCATCAGACCCGAACAAAATTCAAACTTGAACTGTAACTCGTCATGATAAAACTATATACCAATTATCAAATCAATATCTTCAAGAATGACCTAAAAAAGTGCGGAAAACTGATTATTTTAGTGAATTTTCTAAGTCAAAGGACCATAACTCTGCACAAAATTCTCAGACCCGAACAAAATTTGAACTTGATCTGTAACTCGTCATGATAAAACAATACACCAAATATCAAATCAATATCTTCAAGTATGAAGAAAAAAGTGTGGAAAACTGATTTGCCGGACTGACAGATGGACAGACAGACAGACGGACAGAGTTCAAACCTAAAGTCCACTTAGACTTCGTCGGTAGGGGACTTAAAATCAAACTTTTTCTTTAGATGCTATTTATTGGTCTTGAAGATAAGCTTCTGTCCGAGTTTCATAACAATCTATGAAGGTTTACAAAATCATTTTATCAGCCAACCACTTTAATTCATTGTAGAGTAGTATTCATTTTAAAATTATTTGCAGTTCTTTATTCTCATGAAAAACAAAATTTCCAAAGATTTGTTTAGTGTTAACTGTAAAACAATGAATAAACAACATATTTTATGCTAATTATGATAAAAATTTGTAAGGGTTCCACAGAACCATGTGTCTCACCTATGATTGCTGCTGTCAGTGTTAAAGTGTAATGTTGAATTAAAAAGTGAGTCCATTTATCAGTAAAATACAGAATTGAAAAAAAAAATCAAACTTTTTCCTTAGATGCTATTTCTTGGTCTTAAAGATAAGCTTCTGTCCAAGTTTCATAACAATCCATGAAGGTTTACAAATTTAGCATGTAAAAAAAAATTAAACCCAGACTGTCTGTAAATGTTAACTGTAAAAAACTAAGTCCATCTATCAGAAAAATACTGAAAATGAAAATATATTTTCAAAAGTTTGCTTCAGATATTATCTCTTAATCATAAATAAATGGGGAATGAGTCCATGGGACACAGATGATGCCCCCAGCTTGCATATCATATAAAGTTATAAAGGGACATAACTGAAGAACAGTAAAAGTGACGCTACCCAAATTTGTACTTGATCTGAGTTTTGTGGTAATAAGTATAGTGTATTAGTCTCATAATATTTGGTTGAGGCGAATTTAAGTTAGAGAACAGAAACGAATAAATTGCTTCGCCGAGCGCAGCTGGATACGACGGCAGAGGTCCAACCTTGAACAGTTGGGGCAAAAATGGACACAATATTCGCGCTTGAAACAGGTCTGAATTTGGATTGTAATTAAATATTTGACACATAATAGGTTTCTGACACAGAAAAACTGTAGTCAAAGAACTAAGAATTGGTTATATGATTTGAATTTATATTCAATTTTTTGCTTTTGTGCAATACACTATGCTGTTGCGAATTGACCCCCGACCCCTGCCTTTGTTTTGAAAAATATTGGAAGAAATTTTTATTTTGATATCTGAAATGAGAAAAAATTGTCCCCCCCCCCTCACAATTTCATTTTTACTCCCCCCCCCCCCCCCCCCTTTTCCTAAATTTCTTTCCCTCAAGATATGGTCATAATCTCAATTCAAATTTCCAATGGCGTTTGCAACCATAATTACCCATTTAAATACATCATAAAAGTCTTAAAATAGAAAATGACATACATAATCATGGCTAAAATTAATATTCCTTAATCAGCATTTTTAAATAATAACTTCTAAAAATAAATTGACAGCTAATCACCTCAAGACAATACAACATTTCTTTATACATAATTTAAAAGCAGTGTAAGGGAGGTAATCCAAACATAACATTGTACTTTTTTTTAATTGTCCATTAACCAGGAAACCCTTGTTTTTCCCCTTTTTTTGCCCCTAATTCCTAAAGGGTTTGAGCCATAACCCCCCAAAGCCAATCCTAACCATCCCTTTGTGGTATGGAAACTTGTGGTATAATTTTAGAGAGATCCATACACCGTTCCACAAGTTATTGTCTGGAAACTAGAAAAATGCTTATTTGGGCCCCTTTTTGGCCACTTATTCCTAACTGTTAGGACTATAACCCCCAAAATCAATCCCAATCTTCTTTTTGTGGTTATAAACCTTGTGTTTAAATTTCATAGATTTCTATTTACATTTACTAAAGTTATTGTCCCAAAACCAAACCAAATGTCTTCGGACAATGCTGACGACGACGACGACATAATACCAATATACAACCGCAAAATTTTTTGTATAAAAATTCAGCAATTTTTCCATTTGTTAACAGGCATAACTCTAGAATGGTAAAAGTGACACCACCAAAATTCAAACTTGATCTGTATTTTGTGGTAATTAGCATTGTGTATAAGTTTCATAAAATTTGGTTGAGGCAAACTAAAGTTAGAGAACAGAAACGAAAAATTCAGCAATTTTTATGATTATAAAGGGGCATAACTCAAGCAAGGTACAAGTGATGCCACCCAATTTCATACTTGATCTGTATTATGTGGAAATAACTATTGTGTATAAGTTTCATAACATTTGGTTGAGGCAAACTGAAGTTAGAAAACGGAAACGAAAAATTCGGCAATTTTTCCATTTGTAAAGGGCATAACTCTAGAATGGTTATAGTGACGCCACCAAAATTCAAACTCGACCTGTGTTTTGTAATAATAAGCATTGTGTATAAGTTTCATAACATTTGGTTGAGGCAAACTAAAGTTAGAGAACAGAAACCAACCTTGGGACGTACGTACAGACGGACAAGGGTAAAACTTAATGCCCCCTCTGCTACGGTGGGGGCAAAAAAAATTTCTGTAATAGTTTCACAAAATTCTATGAAGGTTTAACAAAGTAATTGAGGTGTAACAAACTTTAAGCCTGTAATTCAGTGGTTGTCGTTTTGTTGTTGTATACCATATTTGTTTTTCGTTCATTATTTTGTACATAAATCAGGCCTTTAGTTTTCTCATTTGAATTGTTTTACATTTGTCATTTCAGGGCCTTTTATAGCTGACTATGCGGTATGGGTTTTACTCATTCTTGAAGGCCATACGGTGACCTATAGTTGTTATTTTCTGTGTCATTTGGTCTTTTGTAGAGAAGTGTCTTATTGGCAATCATACCACATCTTTTTATTTCTATGTTTAACCCTAGACTGTATCTAATTGTTACCTGTGAAAAAAAACATTAATATTAGTAAAATATGGAAAAATGAAGACAAATATTTTCAAAATTTTGCTCTGGATATTATATTTTGGTCATAAACAAGCTTCTGTCCAAATTTCATAAAATCCCATGAAGGTTTGACAAAATTTTTGATGTCTAGAAAACTTTAACCACAGACTGAACCTAAATGTTGATGCCACCGGCAACGACAGAATCTAGGATCGCTACGTCTCGTTTTCGTGACATAAATGTTGCAGGCTCGAAAAAAATGTGCACCCATGAATAGAAGTCCTTGCAAAAGACACAATCAATAATTTACATTTAATAATTATTATTAAAGTTTGATGATGACTGACAACACTGATCATGCTGGCAAAAAACTTAATGAATAAAGGAAAATGAATACTCCTAGGTAAAAAATAAATATAATAGCATATTCAAAAAAGCTCTTGTTAATATATTCCATCATACACAACCAAGCAGGAAGGTTACAACATTTATCATGATAATGCCATTGCGTGCATACATTGGATATAACTCATTGTAATCAACCCTTTACTCTGGACATTTGATCAAATCTAAAGTGAATGCTTAATTCTGGACAAAAGAGTATTAAGTATACTTGTCAAAATATAAATTAATTCATAAAAGATTTAATAATGTGAAATGAATGTAGATAACTTGCAAATAATTTAAGTTCTTATAAAACAAAGAAAGAATAGAATTTTCAGTATGAAAACTAAATACGTCTAGAAAGAACTTGCAAAGTATTTTTTTCCCAACTAATTCAGTTATAGTCAAAACTATGGTATCTATGTATACTTTTTTTTACTGCAAAACCAATTATTTTTACTTTAATGAGATAAAGACTTTGCTGAGGATTTTGTGTTAACATCCAGAGTAAATTGTAACATGAAGGGGTTTACAAATACATTTACACCACTTGCATGCACATAATACCTTTAACACCCTTTCTGTAAGTTTTCTGTATATATTTTAACCCAGACACAAGTTCTCCTTTCTGGACAAAGAACTTTACTCGCATTTTATATGGGGCTGCTTCCTTTATTGTGAATACCTGTTCTTTTAATTTGGATAAATCACCTGCAATACAAATAAACAATTCAATCTTTACCTTTGATGCCTTTTCTATATGTTTTCTGAACATATTTTAAACCTGAAACAATTTCTTGTTTCTGGACAAAAAATTTGACTCGCATCTTGTATGCTGATCCTTCTTTTATTACAAATACTTGGTCTTTTAATTTTGATAAATCACCTGAAACAACAATTAACAATAAACAATTAGAATATATAATATGTTTTGTAATGTTTAACAAATCAACTTGCAACAGGAAATATATTATTACATACATCCTGGATATGGATCAAAAAATGATTGACAATGACAAAAGCTCTACTTGACTTCTCTAAATATTAACTTCCTCATCATTTCAAATTTTAACTGCTGAAAACAAAACTATATACATGTAGAGGTCAACAAATGTGTTTGAACCTTAAGTCAAGCTCTAAATATCCCCAAGTCTATTACATGTACTTTTATTATTGAAGAATCTAATCTAAAAGTCTTGTGTTAAAGTCTAGGCAAATATTTTAGTAATTCATTCTTTAACTATGACATTTAAAACAAATGTAAAACCAGACCAAATCAAGGAAGACTCACTTTCAAAAATATTGATATATAACAAAAGTATTTTAAAAAGATTAAATCAAACAAGAAACATTAAGCATCATTTTTTTATTTCCTATTCATACAAAATTTATGTGGAAATATTTTGGTAATTCATTCTTTAACAATGACAATTAAAACAAATGTAAAACCAGACAAAATCAAGGAAGACTCTTTCAAAAATATTGATATATAACAAAAGTATTTTAAAATGATTAAATCAAACAAGAAACATTAAGCATCATTTTTTTATTTCCTATTCATACAAAATTTATGTGGAAATATTTTGGTAATTCATTCTTTAACAATGACAATTAAAACAAATGTAAAACCAGACCAAAACAAGGAAGACTCATTTTCAAAAATATTGATATATAACAAAAGTATTTTAAAATGATTAAATCAAACAAGAAACTTTAAGCATCATTTTTTTATTTCCTATTCATACAAAATGTATGTGGAAATATTTTGGTAATTCATTCTTTAACAATGACAATTAAAACAAATGTTAAACCAGACCAAATCAAGGAAGACTCACTTTCAAAAATATTTATATATAACAAAAGTATTTTAAAATGATTAAATCAAACAAGAAACATTAAGCATCATTTTTTTATTTCCTATTTATACAAAATGTATGTGGAAATTTGATATGTTTCTATAAAGAAAACCCAGGTAGTGTCTCTTCATTTTTACATTTCAGGATATCAATAATATGACTAAAGGAAAAAATATTATCTACAAATAATACCATAAAATTGAATTATAAATTAGTCTTTAAAGATGTAATAGAGTAAACTTGGTTTATTAATTGGAGGTCATAAGAGACAGGCAAATGAATGTCTGAAAGAAAATATTCCCATGTACATGTATGATGTAAAAACAGTGAACATGGTGAAAGCAATGCCAAAAAGTCATACACCTGCAAAAATTAAATTTTTAGGAACATATTTCAAGGATATATGAATGTTGTTCCATGTAAAGATGTCAATATATATGTATGCATATAACCAACAAATCTTGGTTATTTTTCACTTGGCCTTCTGTTTCCATTGTCACGCCTGGTAAACCAACAAATCTCGGTTATTTTTCACTTGGCCTTCTGTTTCCATTGTCACACCTGGTAAACCAACAAATCTCGGTTATTTTTCACTTGGCCTTCTGTTTCCATCGTCACGCCTGGTGAACCAACAAATCTCGGTTATTTTTCACTTGGCCTTCTGTTTCCATCGTCACGCCTGGTAAACCAACAAATCTCGGTTATTTTTACTTGGCCTTCTGTTGCCATCGTCATGCCTGGTAAACCAACAAATCTCGGTTATTTTTCACTTGGCCTTCTGTTTCCATTGTCACATCTGGTAAACCAACAAATCTCGGTTATTTTTACTTGGCCTTCTGTCTCCATCGTCATGCCTGGTAAACCAACAAATCTGGGTTATTTTTCACTTGGCCTTCTGTTTCCATTGTCAAGCCTGGTATACCAACAAACAGTGTTTTCCCTAGGCTATTCAAGCATTGCGGTACCGCTACGCATAAATTTCAACCGCTATGCTTTCATCATTGCCGCAATGCATCCTGCTATGTGTGAAAATTATAACTGTGTAAAATATTTATTATCGATATTTTGAAAGTGAAGTAACAAGTGACAACACTCCACATGTGTTTTAAACTCATCCGACTAATAATTGGCTGCATCACGTCGCGTGTGCCGGGATTTTACAACCTTCTTGTTTAGATGGTTATGTATACATCGAGACTTGAGTTACATAATAGAAGTTACCAGTCAGCTAATAAATAAATAGTCAGATTTATCTCCAATGCATATCTTTCTGTGCTAAATAAAAAGTTTAACCTTTTCCTGTATAAATTTCACCTTAAAAACGGCCGGTTGTTTGACATCGTTATTTTACTGTGATCTTTAAAAAGTAGAAATTTAAAATTTGGTGTAGTCTCTGGTATTATAAAATAAAACTAACGTAATTTCACCAAGAATGGACAAAACATTTTTTTTTAATAAAGTTTCACAGTTACTTCATCAGCTATATTTACATCGATGAATTTTTTTTTTTGATTGGTCACAACAATCAGTTATTTTTAGATTAGTCGCGGTTGATTGATTTTATCAAAGAATACACATCACCGCCACCGTGCCGAGAAAAAGACGTGTCTTATGAAATATTTAAAAGATTTGATAGAAAACTTTCAAAATATACGTAGTTATTTACGGAAATATTGTTTTAATAAACTTGTGTTGTTCTATTTTTATTTCAATGGGCCACAAGCTTCACGTGTAGCGGATTCATTTGCCGTTTTTTTCACAAGTGGGGCTAAATTTCTTTCACTTCGGCAAGATAGGATTTTTACAATTATGAAGCGTTATAAATAAATCGGACAGGGGATGTATTTAAAAAAAAAAATAATTGTCATGAAATAAAATGTCAGCTTAGCTTCCAAACAGGTAATTGCCAAATATGTCATCCGTGTGTCCGTATGTCAGGTATTCTTCATTGACGACTTCTGTAATTAACGCAAATAAACTTTTTTTTTATTGTTTCCTGTAAAATCTCTGTGAAGCAATGATGACATTCAAAGTTTTATTTAACAACTTGCTGTTGATGCTGAAACAATTCTATCAGCAAAATTCGAAGAACAATCATCAGTTTAACAACCATGTCCAAGCAACCATCAAAGAAACGTCGCCTTACTGGACCAACTTTTTTGACAAGTTGGTTAGAGAAGTCTACTCCTTCATCAAATTGTAGTCAGACAGATGAAAATCACCTTTGAGAAACAGACTATGCCAAAAAGTGCTCAGTTGCTTAATGTATATATCAATTGAAGGACCAAAGGAAGAAGCTTTTGATTTTGAAAAATATGTGGTGACCTTTGGAAAGTTGAAACAGAGAAAGATATATCAATAATAAAACAATTAGATTGGAATATGGCTTTAAACATATAAATTATGTAATGTAACTAATTCTGAAAAAAAGCATCGCGCGCCATGTTGCAAATTCACCATGGACCCACCATGCATGAAAATTTTTCTAGGGAAGACACTGCAACCAATATCGGTTATTTTTTACTTGGCCTTCTGTTTCCATTGTGCAAGAATCTGAAACTCAGTTTTGCAAATAACCTCTGAGAACCATGTGTTTTGGACAACCAAATTCATGAAACAGACTTCCTGATAAATCAGAAGCCAGAAAAACATTTTTTTTCATATGAATTGTCTCTTAGTATGGTGTTCATACATGAATACATTCTCCATCTAATGAAAAGATCTATGACACCTAAACATCATGATCATGTTATGTTATAAGACATTTTGTCAACTGCTGTCTGCAGCAACCTTCTTGTATGTTATGTTACTTCTTAATTAGATCCTTCTTTCACTTTCCGACATTATTATAAACTTTGACGCATGTATTACATCTTATGGTACAGTGTACGTTATTACCTGTTAGATCTAATGTAACATCCTCTCTATCTTGTACAACTAATGCCAACTCTGTTACTATAACTCTACGTGGGTCATTTGGGACTGAAATGAAATATTTTTTTGTCAGTAAAAAGCTATTTGATCATGATAATATTTGCAGTATACAAGTATGTTGGACTATTTAGACAAACATACAAGAAGACATGACAGTAAGTACACCAAACTGACTAAAAAATACATAAAACTACCAAAAAAATTGTGTGCTACAAGTTGTGAATGTCAACCATGAGTTGTATTGGTGTATAAAATATCATTGTTCTTTCACTTTTTACCATATCACAAAACTAAAAGCATCTTGAACAGACTGAATATTTCAATAAGACATATACACAATAACAAATTTGTAACAAATATATACATGTACATTAATGATTTCTTGCTCATTAGAATGAAAATTTAATGTGGCTGTACCAGAACAAAATCACTATGTATAATTAGGAAATTATAAAACATTAATTCAAACTAACAATAGTGGAAATCTGCTGAAAAGTGGAAAATATTAATTCTTGCCATGTATATTTTTTTTCTAAATTAACTTTATCAAGTTTACCATGAGACAACAGGATTTGTTGTCCAGAACAACAACCAATATCATTTAAAATTATCAATTTCAATAGAGAAGTGTATCATTTCAAATTATATATATGCTTGTTTTACAAAAAAGCATAACTAAAAATTTGATTGATTTAAAAATTAAGATAGTAAATATTTCCTTTGGATAAATCGAGTTCTAGTGATAAGTATTGTGTCATCATTTTCTTAGTTTGTTAACAGTATAAAATCTTACATGGATCTTTAGCATCACCACCACCTAACAAGGCCTGTTTATATTTATTGAGACTCTCATCCTCCTGATCTTTCTTTAAGATGTTTTCCAACGGTTCAAATTCTGGTGGTTTATATCCAGGTGCATTAGTATCTTCCTCATGTACATCTTCTGGAGCTGGATTTGCCTCAGATTCTGCCATTTTTATTTCTTCAACTAGAAGAAAATAGTAAACATGGTTAAAGAGAAATGAGCAACAACAAAATAAACATTTAAATACATGTACATGTATGATTTACATTTTAAGTTCATTGATATAAAACAGTGAAGCACATACAAGATATTAAATATAAGATATGATCAAGAAACAAGTACCTTTCTCAAATAATTGGTGAATACAGAAAACAGACATACATGTACAGTACATGTAGCACAAGAACAAATAGTAATCAAATCATTCAAGATTTAAAACAAGTCTGAGGAAAAATAGCTTTTTTTGTGATAATGTGATAAAGGCCCGTCAATAAACGCTTTAAAAGTAGACTTGACAAACATCGAGAAAATGAAGAAATCAATTATTCTGATTGTCTAGCTGAAATAACCCAAAAGCAGTAACAGAAATAATAGAGATCAAATTACACTAAATGAGTTTGGTGGAGAAGAACTGTGAGGATCCTGTACCAGAACACAACATTAAGTAACATAATCACAAAACATTGTACTGACCCAACTAAAATGACAGATGTAACAGATGTAATGTTGCACTGACATTTTCTGATTGATACACAGAAACATCTATATATCCCAGAGACCAAGACTGCTGCAGGTGAATTTCACTAATCATGATGTTCCCAAGTGCTATTTTCAGTCTCAAGACATGCACAAATTTCAATGATATGAAATACGATTTTTCAAATTTTTCAACAAAATTAGACAAGCTCTAAGACATATCATCAATTCTTTAGATGCTATTGCAGCCTTAAGGTTGGTCTGACATCAAATTTGAGAACATGCATGTACATTTACAGTATAATGCAAAAAGTATTGGTTACCTACAATTTTTGGCTATATAATTCCTATAAAACTACATGCATGTAACATCTAAATCATTGTGAAAATTGACTTTAAAGTTGTTTAGACAATTTTTTTTATGGAAGATAATTACTTTTGGCATTCCCTATTACCAGCAGTTATCAAATATAAAAATTTGCTTGTATTTGAGGAAGGAAAAATATTATTTGGCTCAAACAGGAAATTAGATATCTACTCAGATATACTGAGTGCCAATGGAAACACAATCCTTAAACATGTACATTGTGTGTATTTTCCATTTAATAAATATTCAAACTAACAGATCTTCTTTGAAAGTCCACTTGTAGTAAAATTTTAAAAAGTTCTTATGGTATGACTACAAAAAATTTCAAGCAATTCTCAAGGCCTTTCTATTTTCAAATTTTAATGTTTACAAATTCCCTGTTTTGAAAAAAAATTTATAGATTTACACTTTTAGTGGCAACACTCCACCACAATTCACTAATATACCTTAATTTCCAGACAAAATAAATCAAACATTCAGGAAAATTCAGTTCCGTCAAATTTTGTGAAGTTCGGTTTGTAGTTTTTTTATCATCTCCAAAAGTGAAGGATTTTGGCAAATCTGGGGGAAAAAAAGTAGGTCATCGACTTCCTTGGATGAAATTGGAACTAACTTTATCATTACTTTTCAATATTTCTGGAAAAAATTTTGCACCAACAAGCACACAAAAGGTAAGAACTGATAATAATGCAAAAATTTCTAGACATCAGTGAAAATTTCATGGCATAATTGGGTCTCAAAGTTGTGGTTGAAAGCAAAATTACCTCTCAAAACTCCACCCAAAATATAATGGTTTTGGTGTTATAACGTCGCGAGTAGGTGTCACAGCAAAAAATTAAAATAGTCTTTCATGTCAAGATGTCATAATTATTTGGACTAGCATCCCTGATAAACAGTCAGGGGTACTACTTGTACAAGTAATTTTTATTTACTTGAAGAAGTAAAATAAAATATACTTATATAAGTGAATTATTATGTTTAAATAATCTCCCCTTAATATTCTCAAAAATTCACTTGTATAAGTGAATTATTTTTACAATCCCACAAAAATTCTCAAGTTTTGAGATGTAAAAACATGCCTTTAATGATTTTTCCCTGCTTAGCTCATAATTTTTTATTAGAGTTCAATGTTTCATCTCATTAATTCAACAAAGAAACTGATTGCACAAAGATCTTAAGTATTTGCGCAAGGCCTTCAAAAATTGCTCCTTGGGGGCTTGTAGATGAGCAGTGTTCTGAAGATAACAGACAAATTGGATTTTTCACACTTAAATGATTAGTAAAGACATCTGCAAAGGGCAGACAATTTAAAATTCTATTAGAGCAAAGAACTAAGAATTTAACATGTTTAAGAAAAGAAGATAGGATGACATTTTCACTTATATAAGTAAAAAAATCTGAATGTCTAAGGGACATAAGCCAATTTTTTTTTTACCTATGCAAGTAAATAAAATTCACTTGTATACTTATCCTACAAATTCACTTATATAAGTATATTTTATTTTACTTCTTCAAGTAAATAAAAATAACTTGTACAAGTAGTACCCCTGACTGATAAAGGTTAATCTAGAAAAGTGCTTCTGAACACATGAAATTAATAAAGTCAGAGACATATAATACAAGAGATTCGCAACTCTAGTAGAGTCTATATAACAGCCAATGAAATGACGTGGCCACCGGAAAGCCGATTAATCCGATGGATTTATGGGTAAAAACATGCTATTGTTGTGAAAAAGGTTCTACGCCTCACGATTTTTCTAATGGATAAATCCGATACCTTTCACAGCTAAAGCATGCAAGTATATTTAAAAGTTACAAAAAACTAATTCTAATAATTTGTTATTGATAAAATGTGTTCTAATGATGAGATTAATCAAATACAAACAAAGTTAAAACTCGGCCCATTTTACTTCACCCATTGCCGTAGAAACCATTTGATCTCCCAATTTTTTTCTTAAAACTTGGAAATATGCTAATAAATATATAATTTTATGGGGCAATAATACTCCTAAATGTTGTTTCGTGAAAATAAGACTATTTTCGTAAAATTTGATCCAACAATGTGGCGATTTTTTCTGATTGATACCCGAATTTTTTTTATTAAACTGGCCAGAGACATATATTGTATTATATGTCTCTGAACTGGCTAAATATTGAAATTGTTCATTGACAAATTTCCTTAAATCAGTCCTTCTTTTTTGTGCACTATGAAATTTATAGCCTGCATTTTGTTAGACAATTTATTCATTTTTCATTCTGTTTATGGCAAAGTTGTTTATCTTCTCCTATTCTGAAGTCATTGTTTTTTTCTTCTTTTTAGGGTGCCAAAGATGAACGAATGCAGTAAATTTACAAAAGGAGTAAAATTTTCCTTGTAAAGGAAACCTTCTGCTGGTCGTAATATTATGAATGAGCTTCATGCATCTGTTGTCGTTTCAGACTACGCTTCTCATTCAAAACATGAACCTAATTCATTTTTAAATTAAAATCGTATTGAGGACATTTCAATGGTGACTGCAAAAGATATATAATATATATATATATATTTGATAATAAAAGATTTTATTTACACCAAGGATTTGTATATGTATACACATAAACAATCTCACTTTTAAATTGCCATCTCTTTACCCCAGAATAAGAAGACAAAAACCACTACAAATGATTGTCTCGTGGAAATAAGGTTATAAAATACTTTTTTTAAATAGTGTCTTCCATGTTGCTGTATGACCTCGGCTCCCACTTCAATGTTGTGTTTTTTTATAGATTTTTTGTTGCTTTTAGGACACACATATCCATCTATGTATGCAGTATTGTCAATTGTTTTTGTTGGTGGGTCTCTCGCTTATGTTTTCGTCCTTTTCACTATCAACAAAGAGTTCGTTATCAGTTTATTCAACTAGGAGTATATTTAAGTCGTAACTATTAAGATTGTCATCCCACGAAATAAAATTCCATATTGCGTGCACATGAATGAAGCTTTATTCAAATGAGAAATTAATTGTAATTTTCTTAAATATTAATTCTCAATACACACTTCGAACATGAAGAAACCATAAATTTACCGACAATCATTTAAAAAAAACAACTCAGTGCAAGCCTATGATGAAACTGTCAAACAACACTTAGAAATCAAACATTTACCGACAATCCTACAGAAAAAAAACTCAATGAAAGCCCAATAAATGATGAATATAAAAATAAATAAAATTCTAATAATTTATAAATTTTACATTTTGTGAATTGTATTTTTGGAAAGAGTGTGGACACCTGTGGTGTAACAACTTCTTGTTTACAAGGTGTCAATTAAAACTCATTATTTATAACATGTTCGTGATTTACCTGGTCATCGAATAATTCAAACCTAATATACATGTCACACTGTGAAATTATGTCTCCGAGACAGGTGTATATTCAATAGAAACCCATTATGTAACTATCAAATAAAATGAACTCTGACACAATTTATCAAGTGTTAATTATTTAATATCAGTTTTTTTTAATACACTATCAAATTATGTCTCTTTTTCATTAATACAAATCTAAAATCAAAATTACATTAAAATAAATAATTATATATGTACTCAAATTATTTAATTAATTATGATAAATTTAGCACTGAAACAGTTTATGTTATGCTTAAACATTCGTCCTTACTTCGAGTACTTTTAATACTTTTATTAATGACTTTATTACCTAAGGAGATCTCGCGAGGTTTAACTAGTGGCCGCGTGTTATTACGGGATTTCGCCGAGTTGCGAATCTCTTGTATTATATGTCTCTGATAAAGTGTTGTTTCATTCTTGTTTGACAATAAATTTAAAACATTTTGGTTTTTGGCATTTCAGGGATTCAAAATATGAACTAGTTTGATTGATGTAAATAATATACATGTATAGTACTGTATAACCCACATCTATTAATATCTTATCTATTATTCAAATCAAAAGCAGACTTTAAATACAAATGTGTAACATGTTTTTTGCCCTTGTTCTTGAAACAGATATCTTGGATTAATATGAATTTTTTTAGAAATGCAAATTTTGTTTGAATGTGCTTCCCACATGACCCATATATGATCATATATAGAGCTATACTTAACTAGCTCATATTTCAACCCTTACTGAACCCAAATTTTAACCTACCCCTAATCATATACTAAACCCCATAAGCAGATAAATAAATGAAACTCAGTTACCGTATCTAGGAGGATCCAGTTGAAAAAATTACAAAAGCAGGAAGTGGACAAACTCATCAATATTGATGAGACAAAAACGCGATTTCTGGCAGGGACTGCTAGAATAAAATAGTTTGTAAAATTATAAAATCAACCCTGAAATGTCTTTATATATGAAAAATGGTTCAACTTTAAAGTATAAACGGATTTTCTTTACCAAAATGTAGCTTTCTCTTTCTCCCCCTTGAAGCCGGTGTGGGTTGATTTTGACTTCCGGCGTAATACTAATTTTAAAAAAAATAGTTCTAAGGTATTTACTTTTCCTTCCCGAGAAGAAAAATAATTGATTCTATGGATATATATTTATATGAGGAGATGGATTTATAAGATTATCTTAATGTCACAGAAAAGTAAAATGAATCTTTGAAAAACAATACATCATTTGGAACTATCTTATGTTGACCTAACAGGTGATTGACCCTTAGAAGCATCCTACTGAATACTGCATGCTGAGTCTTATATTTTTTCTCTCTTCAACCTCGAGTTTAGAAACTGTCAACAGTCAACAAAAGGGAAGAACGTACGCTACCTTCTTTACTAACTAATTATACACTTGTCATGAAAAGAATGCAACACTATCATACTGTGATGAAATATTTGGAAGTGACTTTTCCAAATTTTCACCACTTGATTCATTTACTTGAAAGAATGCCAATTGTGCTAATATATATTATATAAATCACATGCCCTTGGCTCTTGTACTAGGATGACAGAATGCCAATGAGTGAACTATCCAATATGCAGACACTAAAGCTGTAAAGGAAAAGAATGTAAAACTTGTTTGGGCTCATTGTTGAAAGCTGAACAGACTCCTACAGTTGCTGAAATCTACGTCATTTGATCTCTGGTGGATAGTCGTCTCATTGGCAATCATACCAAATATTCTTTTTTTTATTTTGGCTTTAGATCTTTGCAATGATCACAAAAACAACTAATAATTATGACAAAAGATACAAACATGACAATGTAGCGGTCAGAGCTAAGAGTACTCATATATAGTTACTGAATGCAAATTAATTTAAAGTCAAAATTTCAACAAATAAATAGCTAAATCATGACTTCCCAGAAAAATCAATTCACCTCAAAAATATTTATTGTGAAAACATCATAAGCAGTCTGAGAAAAGATTGCCTTTTGTAATATCAAACTATATTTTTCACTTTACATATAAAAGGACCACAAATGTTGATTGCAATATTTATTTAATTTGAATTACGCTACTGACAATTCACAAGATATGATTTAAGTACCAATAAAGAAAAAGATATAACTAAAATGTTTAATTGATATGCTTATACAAATGTACATACAAACATACACCACGGTTTGATGTCAATGGATTTTGCACCTTGATTTATCACAATAACAAGAGAGTAAGGTAAATTGTACAATGTAAATGACAAAAATTTGGATTAACTCTTGTCCTAATAATGTATTACTGTGTATTGTTTTATTTTGGGAAGATCAACCACTTTCGAGTTCATTGCATTTCTGTCAAAAACTTTGGTTTAAGTGAACATCATTCGTGCGTTTAGGGGCATCGTTATACTACATTGTACCTTCGCATGTTAAGCGAGCGGTTGAAAAAATATGAATTGATGCTGTATTGCACAAATTATTCAGTAAATTAATTTCTTAAAAGTGATAATCAGCACTGCTGTCGTTAGGGAATTCACATAATTAAGTAACTACAGAAAAAAACCATTATTTCTAGTTCATCCTGCATAATGACCATCACGAGGATGCTTGATGAACCTTAATAGGGCAGGGATAGAGGCAGGCCTCTCTTTCTGGTAAATGACGTCATTAAGGTGCGCACAATTGACGAACATTTCCAGTAAAGGACATAACTCGAAAGTGGTCTATTCTGAGTATTGATAATATATGAACATAACATATGATATCAACACTTAACCTCCAGATATCTTTCTGTTTTTTTTTTTTCTGGCCTGTGACCAATATCACAAAATGCAAGGAATATGGATGCTAACCTGCCACCTATGAAACAAACTGATTGTATAAAGCTTCTGTAAGTGCCTGTCCCAAGTCAGGAGCCTGTAATTCAGGGGTTGTTGTTTGTTGCAGTATATGGGGGGGGGGGGGGCAGTATATCATATTTGTTTTTCGTTATTATTTTGTACATAAATCAGGCAGTTAGTTTTCTCGTTTGATTTGTTTTAAATTTGTCATTTTGGGGCCTTTTATAGCTGAGTATGCGGTATGGGTTTTACTCATTGTTGAAGGCTGTACGGTGAACTATAGTTGTTAATTTCTGTGTCTTTTGGTCTCTTGTGGAGAGTTGTCTCATTGGCAATCATACCAAATCTTCATATTTTTATATTATATTTCAGAAGATAGAAGACCCAATTGGTCAACTGTATATTTAGAATGATCATAATATGTACATGTATAAGGCAGGGTTCATCTGATCTTGACCTCATTTTTGTGGATCAGTGTATTATAATGATAAGTTTATCTGATTCCTGCAGTAAAACCTTAAAGACTTTCAACATATAATTCCAATCATGATCAGTAATGCAGGGGAGATATTTCAGTGTGTGCACTCTTGATGTGTACAATGTAGTTGGGTTGATGTCACATTATCTATTTCCCAACATTTATTATTCAAATGTAGTTTAAAGTAGGTGTCTAAATTTATCTGGTGTTTACTTTTGAATTTTCATATGTATGAACTGTTACAGTCAATAAATTAGCAGGTGATTTGTTACAATGTATTACAACATATTTTATGTTTTTATTCAGACCACACCATAAGACATGCTGTTCATCTTACCTAGACTTTGTAGACAACATCTGAGAAGTTATGTCCAGTCAAATATACGCCAGCTGACCACTGGACAACCAAATATTTGTATAGTAGGGGCAGGTCCAGCAGGATTTTATACAGCTCAACAAATTCTTAAGGTATATCTACTTAAAATGCTTGATTAAGAAATCTCTTTATAGTAAAAGAGCATTGTATGTCAGTTTCTGAATAAACTTACTTATATAAGAAAACATGCAGCATATCCTATATTTCAATTGTTTGGTGTCATCCTTAATTCTTAGATTGATTACTGATTGTTTGTGTTTAACACCACTTTCAACACACTTGACTGACTACATGTATATCATGACAGCCAGTTTTTATACGACCGCAAAAATTGAAAATTTTTTGGTCGTATATTGGTATGACGTTGGCGTCGTCGTCGTCGTCGTCGTCGTCGTCGTCCGGCGTCGTCTGGCGTCGTCCGAAGACACATTGGTTTTCGCACTCTAACTTTAGTTTAAGTGAATGGATCTCCATGAAATTTTACCATAAGGTGCAATACCATGAAAGGAAGGTTGGGATTGATTTTGGGGGTTATGGTACCAACAGTTAAGGAATTAGGGGCCAAAAAGGGGCCAACAATAAGCATTTTTGTAACTTCCAGACAATAACTTGTGTGTAAGTGTATGGATCTCTCTGACATTGTACCACAAGGTTCCATATCACAAAGGGAAGGCTGTAATTGATTTTGGGGGTAATTGCCTCAAAATGTTAGGAATTAGGGGCCAAAAAAGGGGCAAAAAACAAGCATTTTTCTAGTTTTATGACAATAACTTGTGTGTAAGTGTTAGGATATTTCTGAAATTGTACTACAAGGTTCCATATCACAAAGGGAAAGCTGGAATTGAGTTTGGGGGTAATTGCCCGAAACTTTTAGGAATTGGGGGCCAAAAAGGGGCCAAAAATAAGCATTTTTCTAGTTTCCAGACAATAACTTGTGTTCAAGTGTATGGATCTCTCTGAAATTGTACTGCAAGGTACCATACCACAAAGGGAAGGCTGAGATTGAGTTTGGGGGTGATGAATCATAAGGGGGTTCAAAAAATTTTGGGGGGGGATTTTTTTTTTTCTTTTTTTCCTTTTTTTTTTCTTTTAAAATTTTCCATTTTAAGTTGGTTATTTCTGATTTATATTTAAAAGCAAATAATAATGATAGTGTAGGAGATACACACCAAACAGGATGTGTAAATTATTATATAATAAGTATTGTGCAATAGCAAGAAATTTTCAATTGCACAGTATTGCACAATAGCAAGAAATCTTCAATTGCACAGTATTGCGCAATAGCAAGAAATCTTCAATTGCTTAGTATTGCGCAATAGCAAGAAATATCCAATAGCACAATATTGCGCAATAGCAAGAAATTGTCAATTGTACAGTATTGCGCAATAGCAAGAAATAATCAATTGCACAGTATTGTGCAAAAGAAGATACTTCGTATAAATTGCTTATTTCTTGATCAATTTCAATGGGGTTTTATTCTTGAATTCTTGGGGTTCTTTAATATGCTGAATCTAACCGTGTATTAAGTTTTTGGATTTTGGGCCCCGTTTTTAAATTGGTCCACATTGAGGTCCAAAGGGTCCAAAATTTAACTTTGTTTGATTTCATCAAAAATTGAATTATTGGGGTTCTTTGATATGCCGAATCTAACCGTGTATTTAGATTCTTAATTTTTGGTTCTGTTTTCAAATTGGTCTACATAAAGGTCCAAAGGGTCCAAAATTAATCTTAGTTTGATTTCAACAAAAATTGAATATATGGGGTTCTTTGATATGCTGAATCTAACCATGTATTTAGATTTTTGATTATGGGCCCAGTTTTCAAGTTGGTCCAAATCGGGGTCCAAAATTAAACTTTGTTTGATTTCAACAAAAATTGAATATATGGGGTTCTTTGATATGCTGAATCTAACCATGTATTTAAATTTTTGATTATGGGCCCAGTTTTCAAGTTGGTCCAAATCGGGGTCCAAAATTAAACTTTGTTTGATTTCAACAAAAATTGAATATATGGGGTTCTTTGATATGCTGAATCTAACCATGTATTTAGATTTTTGATTGTTGGGCCCCGTTATCAACTTTGTCCACATTGAGATCAAAAGGGTCCAAAATTAAACTTTGTTTGATTTCATCATAAATTGAATATATGGGGTTCATTGATATGCTGAATCTAACCATGTATTTAGATTTTTGATTATGGGCCCAGTTTTCAAGTTGGTCCAAATTGGGGTCCAAAATTAAACTTTGTTTGATTTCAACAAAAATTGAATATATGGGGTTCTTTGATATGCTGAATCTAACCATGTATTTAGATTTTTGATTATGGGCCCAGTTTTCAAGTTGGTCCAAATCGGGGTCCAAAATTAAACTTTGTTTGATTTCAACAAA